AAATACGACACGGACGAACGGAAGATTATGTTCGCGAAAGCAATGGCCCCTCGAACTGGCACGCATTCGTCTCTCTCTCGCGTTGCCAGGAGCCAAATACATCAAAACGAGCCGGGCTTAATGGTAACTAATTATTCGCCCCGTTGTGTCGTTTTATGGTTTCGGGGCACGCGTTTCGAGCCACATCGCAACTCGCCCTCTTCACCCTCCATTGTAGCGCGCGCTCGCCCGACAATACGCCTCTTACGATGTAAAGGTATACTTAGCAACCGTATCCACCGCGTTCCCCGCACCATGAATAATACAATCCTCGCTGTACAATGCAGCACACGGCGGCAACGTTGCGTACATTTTCGTTTCCGATGAACGCGAAAAATGGGAACCTCGAATCGGGGTTACGGTCCGTCGTCCGGTATTCGAGATCTCTATCGATCGTTGATACCGCCTCGCGATTCACGGTTGTCTGCCTCGATTTCCACGACAGGTACGCATCTTGTTTACCGTAAGTTCTCGCGTTACGGAACATACACCTACTCTGTAGTTTCGTTTATCTCGCCCAGGTGGATTTAGGGGCGAAAGGAGCAACGCCTTGGGAGCAACGCGCATACTTTACTGTTCGCGTTCACGGAACCAGAGACGGTGGAGATCCCCACCAAGGATAGGCGATCGCGTCGGAATCATTGACCCTGTGAGCGATTCGCGTTTCGGCCTTCGTGTGACGTAGTTTACAAAAAAAAACAAAAGCACGAAGATCAAAACGATTTCGTTGGCCGTCGCGGATAAAAATACTCTCGACGCGTTTAAAAGAAACTTTCGAGAGTTTCCTGGAGCAGCGGTGATAGAGTTGCTGGAACTCAGATACGAATCTACTTGGAAGTAGAATGTTCCATGCTCGAATCAGACAAGGGTGGTGGTATATCCTATGCGAGAAGCTCTCGCGTTACCGTTATGGATAATCACCCTTTACACTTGCTCGGAACTGAACTTCGACCGTGGAAGGAAGGTGCGCGGAACCCGGATATTTTTTATTTGAAAACCTTATCGAGTGGCGTGGCGGCGATTCAAAGGATTCGTATCTACCGCGAGAGTAAGCCCATTTACGTGCCACGCCGACGTTTCACGGTTCGGCCTCGTATGTTCTTCGGGTGTGTACGCGTTTGGATCGTTCGAAACGTTGCGTCGGTGTACAAGGGCTGGTAACGTCACCGGTATGAATAATTAATCCGCGACAGTAATAATACGCGGTAATCTCTAGTTGGTACGCGATTCGAGGCTCTCGCGCTTCCCTCCTCCGCTAAACTGAACGGTAAATGAAGAAACGTGGCGTGTACCTGACAGCATGTATAATCCTGGCACGTCTGTTCTCCCTTTCCTCCGGAGGCATTTATCCGCATTATCTTCCCGGCGGATTTCTCGCGGTGAGAACGTCTGGTATACTGGTTGCCACCCCCATCGCGCGAACTAGCTGGCTGCCTGCTGCCGCTACCTCACGATACCATCCACAAAGAATACACCACACACTTCCCTCCGCACGCGCGGGGGGGTTATTCCGCCTCCTCCGTTCTCGACTCCCCTTCGTTTCTTAATTTAGCGTCGAGATCCTCGCGGAAACAGCGGATGTCGTCGTCGCGTTCCTCTCTCGGTGCACGATGTCGTCTCGTCTCGTAGAGGAGGGAGGAGAGCGGGGAAAGTCGTGGGGGAGGAGATAGGAAGAGTGCACGATGGATCCAGAGGATATCAGATCGAATCCAGAGGAGAACGAAGGTGTGCGGAGAGGTCGAAAGGCGATGAGGAAAGAGGAAAAGACGGACGACCGGTCAGTGACGGTGGTCGATAGGCGGTGAGTTTCCACGTCGTCTGTCGTGGCACGATCACGGGTGCGCGACGACCACGGCCTCCGAAGCAGCCCTTGCGCCGCGAACCATCCGGAGAAAAAATCGCGGCGGGAAAAAAAAAACGACGACCAACGATCGTCGTCGTTGCCGCGGTGGTGGCGGTGGTGGTTCTCGCGATACGGTGTTGTATCGTGGCAGAAAGAATTGCGATCGGGCAGCCGAAAAACCGTGGAGTTGGCGACGGTTTAGGATCGACCGCGAGCGAACGAACGAGCGGGCGAGCGGGCGAGCGGTCGCGTTCGCCGGATGCAGCGCGAATGGAGGGTTGGTCCTGCGCGGCAGCGCGCTCACGCGGTCATCCGGTAAACTGACAGCCCACCCCTGAAAGACCTCCGAACTGCCAGCCTCCCCATCTCCCACTCTATCCTCCGCCCCTTTCGCGCTTGCGTTTTCCGTGCAACTCGCTCTCTTTCACCCTGCCACCGCCGATCTGCTCTACTTCTCGTACAGACTAGCGATGGGCATTCGATATTCTCTCTCTGCCGCAAGTTTTCGTGCGACTTGCTTCTCCTGCTGCGCGACCCTCTACCCCCGCAAAGTCGCTCGATTTGGCCCCCGTTTGCCTCTTCAACTGGCCCCCGGCTGCTTTACACTCGATAGACAGGCGGCGAATTATTACTTATTCGAGCCGACGTAAATTGAATTAACTAACGCAACGGAGATTTTTTAAATTTCCGTTCGAACGCGATCGTCTTCTCAATGTCTCGAGAATACGATCTTTCTTGAAATCTAAGGCGTATTCGCGTTCTCGCACGGTTCGAACCATTGCTGTCCACCGATTGCCTCCCATCGCTTGTCTCCACGCCCCGCGAAATACCGTCCCAGTGAGAAAAAGTCGATCGAGATCGAGTCTACCTGACCCCGCGCGCACCATCGCTCTTTTCGTTAAAAGGCTCTCCACTTTACTCCATTCCCGATCGTTCTTCGTCGATTCCGTTATCGCTTCGGGAGGGAGCTCCTTCTCCTTGAACGTTAAAAATTATCCAAGAGATCGCGACGCTCTCGATGATCCCTCGAGAAGCGGGAGATCTTTGGGAGAATCGCGTCGAAATACTTTTCAAATCGTGCGCCGTCTCGCTTACAAAGCAGTTTTGCGACGATATCTTGGTAGGGAATTGCAATTTGATCGAAATGAAATGGGACTCGATGAAAATAATATGACTCTGTTGGAAAAACAGGAGGATGGGAATTATGTATTACTTAATTAGGTATGAATTAACACCGAATTCGCTGTATGTATTTAGTTATTTATTCGAAAGTAGTTAATGGTAAATTCGTTTAAGCTACAGCCAGAATGCGGTACGAGGTAACCCTCTAGCGGTCGGCCATACGAACTGAAGCTTCTCCCTGAGTGTATACCATTGAACGTTAATTCGTTATGATCGTACATATTGGATTGATGAAACGCGTAGTGTACTCTGCATACTCGTTACATACATATAAAGTTAACACCAAACGTCGTCATGTGTCCACCTTAGTGGATATATTCTACTTACAATTAGTCTTCCGAAGCCTGTAATATTACTTACAGACGGTAGGCAGACACGAAAGGGTTGCATTCTCCCAGGGGCCAGTTTAGTTTCTGCGTTCGACCGCTAGATGGTTTCGACTCTTTCCATCCGAGTACGCAAGACCCGACATTACGAAAGCAAACGGCGAGAAATATAATTTTATAAAGCAACAATGAATTATTACAGCGAACGAGACAAGTTTAACGAAAACAGCTTTATTGTTTAAGTAACTTGTACCATATTTTAACGTTTCCGTCACCACGGTGTGATTATTCCGAAATTGATTACATTTTACATCCGATTTATTATAGACCTGGTAAAAGAGTGTATACTTATAAAAATGTACCTTTTTACCAAAATATGTATATATCGTTTGTTTTTGCTGTCAAGGATCATCGTCGTCGCGATTGGAAAGTACGATTTTTCTCGAGAAATAAAAATGCAGTGTTCGTACACACGGGGATTGCGCTTGATGACATCACGAAGTCGACGCCCTACTTTTAAACAGGTACTTAATATCATAACCTTCGGCGTCGCATACCTTTAAATCTTCGCGCAATCTGCATTTTCTCTGATTCGCGTCTGTGAGATGCGCCAGTGTTCAGTGTATAATCAATAATCAATAATCAAGGACGGAAAAGATAATATCGAATTGAACTGTGTTCGCTAACTATCCAGAGGGATTTTAATCGGTGGCGTGGATATTCTGTTTAATGTTGCCGTGTTTGTACCGAATCGCTAATAACAAGGCTTCGATCTCGGCTCGTTTCGTCAGTGTGTCGACGGGTCTAAACAGTTTCGATTAACGCCGACTAAGATGACGATTAGGAAGTTTGTTACAACACAGCTACAAGGTTACACGAGGTTTCTCAAGCAGATTCACGTGGAGCTGTACCATCGATCGATAGATCTCACAAACATCATCTTGCCCAGCCAAAGACTGGAGGATGACACGCGAAAAGTGTAGACAATCGTGGGCAAATTATTAAATAGTCACGATACTTTCGAAATGTCGGTGCCAGGGGTGGTAACGGAACATCGAGCCTGACCCACTAGCTTCTTCCACGTTTGTCATTGACATTGACACATGATTTTGGTTCGGTCGGAATTAACGCTTTCTCGCTCGTTGCAACTGGCCGTGTATTGTTCGTAGAGTGTCATCGACCAATTCCTCCGCTCGGCACAAGCATATCGCCCGATTGATATTCGTCCCGCGTCACATATCGTCTCGTTCGGCTTGCGTCACGAGACCCTGACCATATAAAAATCCTATCGAGAATTCCAGGTCTCTCTCCCGCCAGACACCGATCGCGTCGGCCAATTTTATAACCGTGAAACGAAATCTCGAATCACAAAGGTCGCGGGAGTCGACCGCGATGGGAGCCCCGGAGGTTTCCCGGGTAACTTGGACACGACACTCGAATCGCGACCGGCGAAGCCTCGATCCATCGATCCAAGACCCGTGACCAACTCCATCGAGTGTTAAAGTGTTCTCCAATTAGTGCCTTTTGTCGAAACCACAGTGATTTTCTGTCTTCCCGGCGACAGATTCGCGCATAGATTACACGTATTACAGTTCGACGCGCGGTTCGCCATGTTAAGATCGTTAACGACCCTCTTGCTACTATCTCACGTACAATGCTTTCTACCGCCAGCTATTCTGGAGACCGTGTACCATTTCTTCACCGGTTTTCCCGTGACCTCGGACGATTTAGTACGGGACGAGACGTCCTTATCCAACGAGTACGATTTTATCGTGATCGGGGCCGGTTCCGCCGGATCTGTGCTGACGAACCGTCTTACCGAGAATCCAAACTGGAGCGTGTTGTTGCTCGAGGAGGGCAAGGACGAGATGTTTCTCACGGACATCCCGCTGATGGCGCCCGTACTGCATGTCACGGACTACGTTCGGTTGCACAGAAGCGAGCCGGGGCCCCGAAAACGGGACGGGACCGGGGGTTTCTGTTTGTCGATGAACGAGGGTCGTTGCAACCTGCCAGGTGGTAGAGCGGTCGGTGGTAGTTCGGTGGTGAATTTCATGATATATTCCAGAGGCTCGCCGGCCGATTACGACGATTGGGCCGCGCAGGGCAATACCGGCTGGAGTTATCGGGACGTGTTGCCGTATTTCGTTAAATCGGAGAATTGCAAACTGCTGGATCCGGATCTTAGGTATCGTTTCAAATTGTACAAACTTTCCGTTCGGATACTCATCCGTCTGTTTCAAAAAAAAAAAAAAAAAGTGGCATTGAGACGAGACCACGAGCTGTAAAATTGGCCTTGATTTCGGTGTTCGACGTCTACGTTACATCGACACGAATTTTCCTGTCAGATTCCATGGTCACGGAGGATACCTCGATGTCACGACTTCGCCGTACGTCTCCCCTCTGCGGGAACGTTTTCTCCAAGCGGGCAGAGAACTGGGTTATGATGTAATCGATTATAACACCGACCGACATATTGGATTCTCGCCGGCCCAGGTTCATCTACGAAATGGCCATAGGGTCAGCGCGAACAAGGCTTTTCTAAGGCCCATTCGCGATCGAGGAAACTTTCATCTATCGAAATTCTCCAGAGCGACCAGGATCGTCATCGATCCGAGGACCAGAACCGCGATCGGCGTCGAATTCGTTAAGAACGGGAAGAAATTGTTCGCCTCTGCTCGAAAGGAAATCATACTATCAGCAGGTGATCGAGAAAATTTCGCTACGTTATCTCGCGTGTTCACGACTATTTTAGGCCAGTGAACTTTCACCAACCTATATTACATTAATCGTTCGTTCGAATTTATCCAGGCACCTTGAACTCACCGCAACTTCTCATGCTGTCGGGGATAGGACCTAAAGATCATCTCGCGTCCTTGAGCATCGACGCGATCGTGGATCTCCCGGTCGGTTACAATCTTCAAGATCACGTCAGCATGTCGGCGCTCACTTTTCTGGTGAACGAGAGCGTGACCATCGTCGAGCCCCGTCTCGCGTCGAATCTGGCGAACACTTTCGATTACTTCGTCAAGGGAACCGGTCCTCTGACCGTGCCTGGTGGGGCCGAGGGTTTGGCCTTTCTCGACACCAAACAAGATCGTCGAAAGGGATCGTCTCGAGTGAACAAAAAAGGAAATCGCAAGGGTTACGGTGTCGAACGAGGTAACGTGTTATAAGCCCCTTAAAAGACAAGCTTTTAAAGCAAGCTGCGAAAGCGTTCGATATAACCGATAACGCGTTTCCTTTTCAGTTCGTCCCTCGCCGAATATATCCTCCATTAACGTCGACACCGGATACTTCGACTCGTTTCTCAACTCGCTCTCGGATAAACGGAAGGAAACGGACGTTCCCGATATAGAATTGGTATTGGGTATAAGCGCGTTAACCGGGGACACATCGGGTAGTTACAGAGGGCTGCTCGGTTTGTCGGACCAGTTTTACAAAAAGGTTTTCTCCGGCTACGAAGGTCTCGACGCGTTCTCCATCGTTCCGGTGCTCCTGCATCCAAAGAGTCGCGGACGGGTTAGCTTGAGAACCTCGAACCCGTTCGACCCTCCTGTGTTCGACATAAATTACTACGATCACGAAGACGACCTGAGAACCATGGTTCGAGGCATTAAGAAGGTGAGCGCTCATTCGTGTCGGTTAATTCGTGTCAACGAGAGTCACGACGTGTGCACTGGAATACCTCGAAAAAAAAAAATACGACTTTTTTTTTTTACATTAGCCAAACCCACGATAAGTACTTGCCTTTCGTTTGATACAAGCCGTATATACCTGGCCCTATAGCCACTTACCGTTTACACATTTTTATTACCTTTCTGTCCTTCGCGTACGACTCGCATAACAATTCCTTAATTCGGTGTCAGTCGTCACGGCGTACACATCTAGTCGTCGCGAAATAGCTCTCTAATTTGTTTATAGTATTTTATTGTTAATTATTTTTATTATTAATTTATTACATGTTTAATTTATTTATCATAGTGTTGTGTATAGTTTGAGTTAATTAATTCAGTGTTGCAAGAAGATTCGTTAATGTTGTCCGTGTGAAAGAAAAATTGCATGCTCGAATTCATCTGTCACACATCGTAAGTTTGGCTACGAGGTTAAAGTGTAATTTTTTTTAGGCCAGTGTATGTGCCGGCAATTTGAATCGTTTTCGATTTCCCTTCTACTTAGATACGTAGAATCACCCTGCAAAGTTTCTGGCACCTGTAACCGGAACATCTTGTGTCACAATTATCACTGTCGAGACAACGCGTCATAATTATTTTACGAATCTTCAAGACACGTAACGCATAACGCTTCGTGGGTATTATCCGCAGGCTATACAAGTTGCAACGAGCAGGGCCTTCCAGCGTTTCAACGCGACCTTGCTGCCCGTTGGTTTCCCAGGTTGCGAACGTGTCCCATTCGATACCGATCCGTATTGGGCCTGTGTTGCACGGCACGTGAGCACGACCCTGGGTCACTTCGCTGGCACGTGCAAGATGGCCACGAGAAAGAACGGAGGTGTGGTGGACCACAGGTTACGGGTCCATGGGATCGATGCTCTCCGGATCGTGGACGCTAGTATAATACCGAGCTTAATGTCCGGTCACACGAACGCGCCCGCTTATATGATCGCCGAGAAAGCCGCGGATATGATTAAACAGGACTGGAAAGTGTTCGTTTCGCATGAACGGTGTCGTTGAAAGGATGTAAAGAATAAGAACTCGAGAAACGTCACGTCGGCGGATGTGTATTTAAACATAAATTAGTTTAAGACTAAAGTAACGGAACGATAAGAGACAGAGTAGTTCGCGCGAACGTAGATTCTCGTGAAACAGGCGTCTACAAGTGTGTGTGTGTGTGTGTGTGTGTGTTTTGTATCTACGCTGGTCCACGGGTGTAGCGTATACTTTGATTACAATAATGACCTCGGAACCACGGAACGTAATCGTGTTAAAATGACTGATCTGTCGAGATAATGGATGTCCATCTTTGGCAACGAGTGTGTTTCTCGTCTAGAGCAACGTATGTACAATCGAACGAATTTTTCTTTTTTTTTTCAATACCACTACGAAATCCTCGCGATACAATCGAATTTGGAGCTAGCGGGTCCAAAATATCGAAAGGCTAGCTAGAAACGCGAACGCGAGAATTCGGGAGAGTTGTGTCCAAGGTGTTGCAGCTGCGGCACCTGAAATTGAATCGAAATCGTTAAAAGACGATCGATCGAGTACAATTTCATCGAGAGCAAAAGAATCGTGTACCGTTGTCGCTGAATCGGATGCAATCGTGCAGCTTTTCGGTCACGGTGTAATCCTTGGCGCATGCGCATAAGCCTGAAAAAATTCGTTGTTTTAATCGACGAAATTGTCTAATTTCGAAGCATTTAGAAATCTTACCGTCCACGCAATCGACGTTCATCACCTCGGTCGAATACGAGTCTCTGTACGTGTCGGTGATGCACTCTTTGTGGTTCTCGCATCGTTCGTTCAATGCTAAAAAAATAATCGATGGATCAATCGGTCAAGTTTCCTGCGCGCGCGCGATGTTGGATCGGTTACGATTCTGCACCGGCGATACTGACCGACATCCTTGATGCACACGGAACCGCGTTGATGGAAATACTCGAGGCAGCCGCACTTGTCGTTAGAACCGCATTTGCTGTCTTTCAGGAATAGCTGGCACTGAGAGTCCTCTTGACACGGTTCTCCGACGGAATTGGCAGCTTTCAGACACCGTTTACCGTCCCTCGACAGCACGTGATCCACTCTGCACGAGCAGACGTCGATGCATCTCGAATTCTCCGCGACGCATTCGTAATCGTTCAGGCATTGGTCCCCCAGTTCTGGTAAAAGTGGATTAGATTCTACTTATTCTCTCGAGAAAAGAAAATGTACCACGTCGACGCGAACGAGATAGCGTTACTTGCCTTTACTCGGTATGCAACCGTCGTTCCGTGGATTCGGATGGTACTTCAACGTGCACTCGCAGAATCCTGTCACGCAGTAACTGTCCTTGATGTAGCAATTCCGATTCGTCTGACAGGCGAGTCCTAAACCTGGAACACGCGAACGAAACACTCTGACCATCGATCCAAATCCAGCACCACCGTTTCCCCTAGTTCGCGTTAGCTACGTAGCAACCGCGCGAATGAAGAATGATCGTTGCGCGCGATACGTCGTCGCGCAGGAAACGCGAGCATTCCACGGGAACCAAGGGGTGTGTGTGTGTGTGTGTGTGTGTGTGTGTGTGTGTGTGTGTGTGTGTACAACCTACCAACAGACTCGTAACACCTTCCCTCGACGTAATGAGAGCCGTCGGAACACTGACAGATATTTCGTCGACACTCGGAGTAGGGAGCAAAGGTCACGCGACACTGTACATCCGCCTCGCATGGGTCTCCTATGGCAGCCGCCACTGTGAAAGAAAATTTCATTTCGTTAATTAACGGTCTGGTTACAGAAACGTCAGATTTACGCGGGTGTATTCTCCACGGTTCCGAGAGCCTCGATGATGCCATTCCGTCTGAGAAGTCGAGGGAAATATGGTTAATCTTTGTCGGTTCGGCGAGCACGACGAACGACACGCTCCAAGGAGACGGGAGGCCGTGAGAAAGGGACGGCTAGGCGCACGGACGAGGGAAGATATCCCTGTGGAATCACGTTTCCGAGGTCGGCGACACCGATTCCGTGTCTCGCGCGACTATGACAATTAATCGAAAACTTTTCTGGATCACGACCGCCGCAGTTTCGTCGAAACAAACAGACCCCCTCGAAAATACGGCGGTTACCAGTAAGTAGTAATTTGCTTCGACGGGCCACGAACCTCCCCCCCGAGCGGACGTATACTTTAACTTCGTTAAATTGACGCGCGTCCACGGAGGAGATTAAAGAGGCGGAAGGGTTCTAACGAGAAAATTGCCACCGGGGAATTTTGGGTAACTACGCGCCGCTGTGAGCGTCATCGAGGAACCGGAGAATTAATAATCGTGAGTTAACAATCCATCCGGATATGGGGGTAGATACTGTATCCCCGCGTGCGAATATGTTTCTTAGGAACGTCTTACCCTTCAGGCACTCCACGTGCGTGCGATTCTTATAGACGATGTAATCGTCTTTGCACAAACAGGCTTCTTGATTCCAACAGTAAGCGTTCTTCATACAGTCGTCGTCGTATCGACACTTGGCCAAGGTCTCTGAAAGAAAAAAAAGTCACGTTTCAATCTGTTCGAGCGTTCAAATACGTCAATTCGATTAGTCGCGGTTGCTACACGAAAGATCAGACATCAAAAGCCCCGACCATTCTTTGATCTCCGACCCAACAAGCGATAGATTTCGAGAAGCGTGTAGGTTTTTCGGGCGCGGTTCGATAACCGAAGGTAAGAAAATATTTCGCCTTCGGTGTTTTGTTCCCCGACGGGGGAAACACGAAAGAAGCGTCGTTGTGTCGCATACGTACGATGGGGTGGCGTTCGCTCCTGGCAACGGGGTAGTTCCTGGTGGACGTAGGAAATGGTCGCGCAGACGGTGACAGGCACGAGGACGAGGAGCCTCGATAACCCGACCACCGTCCTGGTCGGCGTCATCCTCGCGCCGCCGCCGCTGATACAACGTCTTCTTCTGGTTGTTGTTCCATCGGTCTGGCCCGAGACTTCGTCATTCCCGTGGATCCCGATCCCGAGGACGATCGTACGTTCCCTCGTTCCCTCGTTCGTCCGGGCTCGTTCGGCCAGGCCTCCGACGCAACGACTCCTCCTTCTCCGCGTTTCTTTACGATCTTCCGTGTTTACTGTCCGCGTTACACAACGCTACTGCGTGCTCCTCGTCACCGCGGCGAAGCCCCGGTCTATTGTCAGACATCGCGTCAGGTCCGTCGACGGGCCTACTTATACGTACACACCAGTCGCGCGCTCGCCATTCGCGTCTATCCGTTCGTCGATTTTCCTCGTTACGGAACTATTCGACCGATTATTATCGAATAAGTATGCGGTTCTATCGTCGCGTCGTACAATTACCTCTTCGGGAATTATCTTGGAACAGTAATAGCCAGTTCAAGCGACAGGTTTTTTCACCGATTCGGTAATTCTGCCGATGATGATTTGGCAAAATGACCGTATCGTCCGAACGGAGTGTAACCGGATCAATTTTGGGGAATAGAGACACGGCAACGGTGTCGGATTCGCGAAAACGCATGAGCCTCGTTGCTATTGTTACGTGAAAGCGAGACCGCGGTTTTATCGATCGCCAAGCAAATCGGGTTAAACGTCGCTGGATAAATGTCCGCCGAATTTACCACTCGATTAACGAATAATTATCACGATGCAGTGTCCCCGTTTCGTAATCAACCGTCTGTATGTACAAATTATTCGCGAACGGTCGGGAAATTAAATCGTTCGCGAGCCGTGTTTTCCAGCGGCAACGTAACAGGTTGAATCGCGTGATCGGTGACGAGCGCACTCACGCGTTGAATCGCCGATCCTACCCATGGATCCTTGGTCGCGTTTAAATGTAATTTAATCGGACTCTGGTGCTGTTTCTGTGCCGTTGATTAATTGGTGACGCGAAACAATTTACACGTTCTGTCCACGCGTTACACATTATCCCGCGTCCTTTCAACGTTCTTGGAATCGACGCGGCGAATCTCGAACGGTTTCTCGGTAGTCGACGGGCACTTTTCAGACGAAGGTTACCGGTCGATGGGTACCATTTAGCGTGCTCCGCTTGCACAGTTTCCGTCTGTTACGCAACAACAAGCCGCCCGGCATGACCCGGTACAAACACAGAAGCCATTGTTACGCGTCGCGTTCAACTCGTTAGTGCCCGCGACACGTTAACGTTATCGTATCCGTGGCATTAACACCGTCTGTAATATCGAAATAACAAGAATCGTTGGTGTGCGTAAATTACGAAACGATCACTTATCGGTGGGGAATCGAGCACAACATCTCCCTTCGCCTCCGAAGGAATTTCGTTGTTTGTACAAGCGGTACCAGTCTTTTCGATACCACTGACATCGAGTCATCGATCAATATCGACTGCATTCCCGACTACGACCTCACCCGGCTATCGAATAACGCGAAAAAATATGTATAGTTCGAGTACCCATAATGTACCACACCGTGATCGTCGTCGCGCATGAGTTTCCGCGATTTCGATGACTCTAGACGATGTCAAAGTACAATACAAAAAAGCGTTCGTTCTCACCGTTACCGTTCGCCCCGTGTCGTTATTATCGTCGCCAGTTTATTGCCACGTACACACACACGCACGCACACACATTCATATTTGTATCTCCTGCGGGCACGATAGCACCATTAGCTCGGGCACGGGGGGCGTTCCAATCCGTTGACGATCGATACGCGAAGGTGAGCAACGCACAGATTTTAAATCGATGCGCCGCATCTAGAGAAAAAAAAAAAAAACGCCTGGTCCGTGTCGGAGGGTTTAACTACTAAACGAATCGCTTCCTGCGATCGGTCGGACGGATTTTGTCACGCGTCCTCTCAGAGGATCAAGCACGGCGGGGTATTGTTTCCACGTCGCGTGTCGCTACGTAATGGAGATCGCGCAACGCCAACCTTTTGTTCGAGACGAATGCCGCAATATCGCCCTGGTTCGGGAGCGGAGGAGCGTTAGACCGAAATATCGGACGACGGGAGGGAACGATCTCTCTTGTTCTTTAATTATGCGCGCCGGTTCCAACCCGACATTCGCCCATAACTGTGAGAACCAACAGCGTAGATCCGGCCTCCCCACGTTTCCCCGCGTAGCCCGAAGAAAGGAACGGTCTCGCTTACTCGCTTGCTCCCCAGCGAATAAGTACGCCCTTTCAAGCTTTTCTTACGTATTCTGCCCCTCGGCCGATCTGTCTATCTGTCGAAATCTTGCGCAAAAGTCGACGCCAGCTAATTCCTTCGACAACGATTTTAGAGACAATAATTACTTATAGAAAATTTCACGCGAATTCTCGTCGCGTAAGCGTTCAACGGACTTCGATCGTAAGCATCTGTCGAGTAACGATCCTCTATGGAAAATCCCAGAAAACCTTCTAAACGAGGAGAACCAGCCAACGAGTTTCACAAAAACGTGTCTGAAACGCGATCCCGTTTTGTCGTCGAGTGTGTAATATCAGTCGCGTGAATCTCCCGACGGTCGTCGACGGCGAAAGATCGGAGCAAGGAACAGCCTGGGCAACGGCAAAGAAATCTCACGATCGAATAGAACACGCAACACTCACGTCTACGGAGCAGATGCTCGTGCTGTCCGTGCGCGGCAACGACTGCACTCCACGCGGCGAAGCAGAAGCCGAGTCCGATCGACAACGCAACACCTCCCATCGGGAGACGATCTACCAAGCCCGCCATCTCCGCCGTTCCGGACGAGCTTCTCGACGGTTTTTCGCTGTTTCTTCCTCTTCCTTTCCTCCTTTCCTCGTTTCTCCGTTCCTCTTTCCTTCTTGGCGAACAAACGAATTTCACGAGTGGCCGCACGGTGCTTCGAACAGGTTCCACCGTGTCTATGTCCGGCCCAACGTTTGTCCCGCGACTTTATCTAATCGGTGCCGCGTTGATAAGTTCACCGTGCGAGCACACGGGAACGACGAGAGTCATTTATTGTCTTGAACGTAACCGCTGGTACGATCGGCACTGAAATCACGCCGGGCTAAGAGACGGTGACGCATCGTCGGAAATTTTGCGTTCTACGATTAATACGCATCGATCGACACGCCGTGGCGTCGTCGCGCGTCTCAACTGCGTTCGAAACCGAAAGTATCGCGAGAGGTGATCGGTCGATCACCTTCTCCATGCAAGAATAATTGGGAACGAAAGGTATCGGTGATTCCTTTTTTCATTCAGGCAGGTAATTCAAGGAAAACATACAATTTCTTGTACTTAACTTTTTTATTTACCAATATTAAAAACAAGTGGTACAAAAGCGAATAACAGTAGAAACTTTGTTAGGAACGCTCTTAAACTAAGAAAGAAGATATTCTATTGTTGTTTTTTCTTCGCGTATGAATGCCACGCGATTCTAAAAAGAAAAATCACGATGTTCTTTCCACGCTTTCAGATCGATTAACAATCAAAATGCAACTTTGATCGCAAAAAATAAAATATCGTTCACGGCCTATTCGGTGGAAGCGTTGTGATAATTGGCATTCCGTGGTGTAAACTGTAAATAAGTGAGCCAGTCGTCGATCAACGTTCAAACGTGCTCTTGATCCAGACGATATCTCTGCCGCGTTCGTTCGTTCGTTCGCGAAAAGATAAGACGATCGCGTTGAGTTTTTGCCTCGGCGAGCGAGTTACTCGTTTCTTTGGTCTCTGTGTACGTACACGTTTCTTTGAGGATAGAAGAGAGAACTACGTGGGAGAAAAGCAGTCGCGCGATAAGCGCGCAACCAGCGCAGCGCCTCGATCGCGTCCGCGGCAGAGGAAGTCCTCGAACGCTTCGTTGCACCCGCCACAACGGCGCGTTCTCTCGTCGCGCTCGACGCGTAAGTAGTATAACCCTGTAAGTACGATCTCGACGACATCCGACGCCGTCCTCGCAACACTCGCTTTCCTTTCCGCGCTGAATCGCGTGCTCGCCGCGAGAGACAACGCGCGGGGATAGTCGTCGAAATGGATCGTCTCGAGGCCTAGATTTCCTCGAAGGGACCGACGAATAGGAACGTCGCGAGTAAAAGGGTTAGAAGGGATCCCAGGAAACGCGTACCTGAAAAAAGAAAAGAAAAAAAAAAAGAACGAAGGAAACCGGAGTAAGATCGTAGTAGCTGGAGATCGGAGCTGACGTCGTATAGTTGGTTTTTCGCTTACCTTCGTTAACGACGCACGCGTCATCCTCTCGATGAAAATCTTCCGCGCAAACGCACACATTCGCCGTGCATGTCACGGCCTTTCGCGTCCTGTTTTCGTCGTCGGCCTGGTAACAATCGTACGCGTTCCCGCATTGTTCGTCCAGACCTGTGTCCGTGTGCAGTGTACGTATACGAGATAATAATATAATAATCTCTCTTGACGGGAGAAAAGCTCGTTTACAATTACAAAACATAAAATCGTGTTTTACCTGTGTCGAGGTAGCATCGATTCATTTCGAGCTCGAAATGGTGCCGATCCAGACACCTACACGTCCCGTCGATACACGCGGCCGCGTCTCCGAAGCTCTGCGAACATTGTTTGTCCTCGACGCACTTGTTCAGAAATTCTCGGGCGACCGGTAGACATCTTTTCCCAGTCGAGTCGATCACCGTCTCCTCGAAACAATCGCAGATCATCTTCTCCTCGATGCACACCGCGCCCTGGACCTTGCTGCATTCCTCGGGCCGCGAGCATCGTTCTCCAAGGGCTGCGAAACACAGAGTCGAGTCGAAACGATCGAAATAGAGCTTATCCGAAATTACGACGAACGAACGGGTTCTGGTTTACCGATAGTCTCGTAGCAAGCGTTCCCCGCGTAATGATATCCCGGGATGCAATCGCAGCGACCATTCTGGCACGTGGTGTTCGCCAGAAAATCCGTACATTGCCTGTCCTCGACGCACGGGGACTCGATCGCGTTCACCCCTGAAAGATACGGAAAAAACGATTCCGTGAGTGCTCGTCGATACGGTGCCCACCAACGAGGGACAAGCGTTCTTACTCTTAAGACACGTCTTCCGAGTGGTGGACATAACGTAATCTTTCTGACAGTCGCACTGGCTTATCGACGTGTTGCACATGGAGTTGTTGAACGTGCACTCTTTATCGAGCTTGCAGCTGTGGAAAATGGGCGAACCTGAAAAAGGAAACGGCGCGCGATTTCAATATCGATCGAGACATCGGTATTAGGTACCATCGGTGTGTATACGTATAATACGTATGTACATATCTATGCTACGTAGTTAGGTATATTTACCTGCGTTTCTGCTGTTCGGGCGTAAAATTCCCGCGTTGGAACAGTTCCGATACTCCGTTCCGTACTTGCACTCACAGTGCCCGTTCCTGCAGAACGGGTCTTTCAGTAGGACCGAAAACTTGACGCAATCTTCCGACGTCTCGCAAGGTATCGTTACGTCTGCAACACGAATGTCAGGGCGGTGGTATCAACACCGTGCGCTGGAGCTTCGTTTCGTACCGAATAAGACGAGTCTCGTACTCGTCGAAGGCCACGAATTCGTAGTTCTCGAACGGGGATTCAAAGAGTCGCGGAGAGCACACCGCGATCCGGGTCGCTTCCGAGTTTTTTAAAGTACGTTCGACGTGTGCTCGAACGATCGATCGGTGTATCGTTGCCGGTGCGGTTTTCTTTCGCTATTCAAACACGTCTTTTCTGGTCTCGAATGATTCGCTGCGTCGACGAATCGTGACCAAATACCTTTGGCATCTCTGATACATTGTACGTCTGGTAAAGTAAAGTATATATGTATACACACGTGATGCTTTGGAATTCAACGATTTCCTATAAAGAAATATAATCTACCAAATTTATTCGACTTGCACAGAAACACTGGAAATACATTAAGACCACGGATCAAAAGCGAAGAGTATTGACTGTATTTCTGTTTATTAATCTTCCCGTGACAAGAATAGCGATCCACTGGTGGTAGAAATATTCTGCTAGAAATATTGTATAGCTGAGATCGTTTCCGACGATCCTCGCGAAACGGAATTTTTCGATGAGAATCGAATATCGTCCGCCATTTCGACAGACTTTTTTCCTCGAGACCGCGCAAGTAAAGGTCGTCTTTATTTTGTAAGAACGGTCGTCGACGTTCGTATACAAGCTGTGCCAGGACGTTACCTAAATACGAAATGTCGTATCGATAGATATACATATATGTACATCGGTTACCACGAATAATCTGACGATAAATCGATCCACCGAATACCTCTCGATCCCTTCGTTTCGCTCGGCGGTATCCAGAGTGGCCGAGTTCGATGAATCGAAGTGGAAATTTCACGAGAATAATATTACGCACGATGTTATATGTATATTGTGTTCACGGTAAAACACGAAACTCGATCGACGATGAAAATTACACGCTTCTTACGATTTCGAGTTCCATCATTTCCCGATTCAGGAAAAAACCGATCGCGAGATTCAATGCCTGTTCCCGTGAATTTGAAATTAGCTTGTTGTCCGATCCAAGTAAAGAGAGAGCGAGAGAGAGATAAAGGAAACGTTACCGATCTGCTCGGCGGTTGCGAGGCCTAAGATCGCGAGAAGTTCCACGGCCAAGAAGAAACCCATGGTGTTGCACCGTTTCGTTCCGACGTTAACGAGCATCGTGGTCGACGACGAGCACTTGTCCTGCGAACTAGCTAGCGTACTTATATCGTTTCGCGATCTAGCATCAATAGCGCACGACTGAGGAACGCGAAGCCGGCTCGAACGCGCGGTTGACCATATTCTCCCACCATCGTGATATTCTTCCAGTCAGGCAGCTGGCGACTGGCGACGGAACACGATTCGATTCCGTCTTTCTGTCAATCTCCGACATCTTTCCTGGGGCTTTTCAAATCGCACGGAAATTCTCGACTTCTCCGTTCGAGTTATCTCGCCGTGATTCAAAGACGCGCACACAACGCACCATCGTTTCGAGGTACCTGCATACATTCATGACTCTCGCGTAACCGACGATGAGTCGCACCTGTGATTCGGTGCGTTCGAACGCTTCCACCGTCGAGCTCGATCCGTCTGATTCACCGTTCCGAATCGTATACCGAGCATGTATATCGGTGATAAACCACGAGATAACGATTGTTATCACGGAAGGGCGTGCACCGCTACGCTTTACGACGAGACACTTAACCGTGTCTTATCCGGGAAACGTAGTCGCGTCGAAAGTGCCGCGATCGCAGTGAAATCAAAGGAAACCAAAAACCCAACGTCTTTCTTTGCAAATACGTTGTATTCGAGATGCGGAGGAGCGACAGTTTCGGTAACACCGGCCTGGTGTTCCTCGTTGTCGGATCGGTCTTGTGTTTCGAACGTAAATATTAACGAACAAGCGCATAACCAAACGCTTTCGTTTCCGGGCGACTGGTCGTGTCGAAACCGAGAGTAGTTGGAATAGCGTGATAATTGTTTCAGAAATCGCGGGACAACAAATCGGGACTGCGAAGTACGGCGAACAATGCGAGAGGGACCGTAACTGTATACCTCATGCGTTCTGCCGGGTACAGAAGAGCTGCGTCTGCGAGGCGTATTATTCACCGACTCTGGACCGAACAATGTGCATCGCCAGTGAGTCTCGTGGGTTCGTATCGTTGACGCGAGAATTAGATCTCCTTCGGTGTTTCTTTCGTTAGATGAGGGGGCATCTTGCATCGACAACTCTACCTGTCGATCGATGACTAACGCCGTGTGCAGACAGGGAAAATGCACTTGCCAAGACTCGTACGCGTTGGACACGAGGAACTCGTCGAATTGCATTAGCAGTAAGTAACGTGGCGGCCGCGATAGGATTCGTAACGAAGACCGATCGGAGTATAATAAGTACACATTATACAATACATGCGATGAATCGGCCGTTGCAGGACCATCGAGGGAGGGCGATCGTTGTCAACGGGACGACGATTGTCAAGAGGCGCTTGGCCGTGCAATGTGTGTCAGCGAACGGTGTCGATGCCTCTCGCAGTACCATTTCGTCAATGAAACTGGAAAATGCTTACCAACACGATGTAAGAACTTGTAACATGTACATCTAACCTTCGATGTTGCGCTTTTTCGACCAATTGCCAACCGGTTCACGCAGGCGTTTTCTCACCTTGAATCTACGATTCACCGAATCTCGGTTTTCACCATTGCAGCTGGATACGGAAAAGCGCAACAGAAACTTGTCCAACAAACTGCACAATCCATTAATCCATTAATTCGTTAACGCGTTCTTTTCAGTTTTGTACAATCCCTGTACAAAGGATTACGATTGCGTGGGTTACAGTACCGAAGATGTCCTTGAGTGTCGAAACGGCGAATGCGTTTGTAAAAAAGGAGAGACGGGTTGTAACAAAGGTTAATAAGAATTAATTGTACCGCGTTGCTATCGAATACGGTCGACCTATTTTTTAAGCTGCTCTAAGCTTTCTCTCTCACTCTCTCTCTCTCTCTCTCTCTCTCTCTGTTTCAGCCCCTCCGTTTACTTCCGTTGCAATTCCTGCGATACTGCTAATGCTCTTCTTCTGGATGATTTAAATTCATTTTTATTTGTAATCCACATCTCGAATAAACATACCTACGTTTATACAACATTTAGCTTCTTCGGTCTTTTTCTCGTCTAAAAACTAACAAGACCAAATCTACGGATTTTGAGCTTGTATTATTAAAAGATTATGTTTTTTTTTTGCCGGTCGTGACACCCGTGGTAAGTCACTCAAATTGCCCGCGAAATCTTACAGACGGATGTGTGAGAATTTCTGATGATGGAAAAAGGCAAAAATCTCAGTAATTAGGCGTTCAAAGTGAACGTCGTTAGCCTCAAATTATTCCTTTTCCACACAATGCATAGACCCAATACTGCAGAAGCCCAGAACTAGTGAAATTATTTATACTTGTATTAATGCAGATAGATACGGAGCGGTAACCCTAATTGCAGCAGATTCCAATCGCATTTACACCGTTCAACGAGCATAACTTCTCTTCCTCTCGCATTAGATTCGAAGATCAAAGAACGTAGATTAATATCCTCTAGCGATTGAGAACCAGTAATAATAAGAACATTGTTAAAGTCGCAATTGTTTGCAACGGTTGACACTGTATCCCTTCATACGCACCCCGTTCAGTTCACTTTGGCCAACTCGTATATTGTTATGCCGGCAGCTTTCATCTTGACCAAGCATTCGATTTGTAGCTTAAAGAACGTAGATTAATCCCCTGTCATTGACAATAACAATAAACGACCAGAACACTGTTAAAATCACATTTAATCGCGGAATACCACTATTTTTTTAACCGGTGGCGCCACCCGTGCCGAATCCCTGAAACTGCTAGCCAAATCATACCGACAGGTAAGTGAAAATTTCTGGCGACGGAAAAATGCTAATATCTCACTAATTAAGCGCTTAAAATCAATGTAGTTGTTCTCAAGTTATTCCAGACGACTCCATACATAGCCCCAATACTGCACAAACCCGGAGTTAGACAAATTATTTATGCATATGTTAATGAAGACCCTTATGGAGTGGTAACCCCAATCGCAGCAGGTTACAATGACATTTACACTGTTAAACGAGCATAACTTTTCTTTGTCAGGCTTTGGATTCCAAGATCAAAGAACGTAGATTAATATCCTGTAGCGACTGGGAACCAGTAATAATAAGAACAACATTAAAATCACAATTATCTGCAACGGTTGACACTTTGTCTCGTCATTCGCACCTCCTATAGTTCACTTTGAATAGGTCTTACAGTGTTATGCAAACAGATTTCAGCTTCATCAATCATTTGATATGAAGCATAAGGAACGTAGAATAATCTCCTGTCATTGAAAATAACGATAAACGACCAGAACACTGTTAAAATCGCATTTAATCGCGGAATACCACTATTTCTCGACTGGTGGCGCCATCCGTGGCGAATCGGTGAAACTGCTAACCA